TGTAACCTTAAGCCAGTCATTTCCCCTTTCTGGGCCTCAACATCCCCCTTGTGTAAAATTAGGAAGGGGAGAAAGGAGAGACTAAATCATCTCTAAGATCCTTCCCACCTATAGCAGCCTGTGATTCTAATAAGACTCCTTCCTCTACCTGCTCTTTCCCGGCAAAGTTTCCCAGTAACCTGGGCAAGTCATGTGCCTTCAGAGGACCTTAGTTTTCTGTCTGTGAAACAGGGTAATAATGTGGATATTTCTGTATAAAAATGGTTTAGTAATGTATCCCATGGTTCGTTTTGGGGATCATAGTGCAATCCTACAAGGATCTAAGAATGGCCACCTGGGCCACCCCACAGTGAATCCAGGTCATTCACAGGAGTACCAAAGTTTGATGGTGGACAGTAGTCCATCTTCCCTGCCACCTTTCTCCTAGCCTCCCTTCTTTTCCTGCCTGGCTCTCCTTCATGTGCGGTCAGGGTGGCCTCCCCCAAACACAGCTCTAGTCATGTACATCCATGGCAGTCATGAAGGCCTGAACTCAGGCATTTAGAAAAGAAAAGAAGGAAATGATATGAAAAAGATTATGCAGATAAAATTATAGGAATTAGTGACTGATATTCTGTGCATTCAAGCTCTTGCTGGTTATTCTGTGCCCTGGCTCAGAACTGAAATCTAATATCACAATAGGCTCCTGATGGTGTGGATCGCTCCAGGCATATCTAGGCCAACACGGAAAAGCAAGAGAGATGCCAAGAGGGATACTGGAATCAGCTTTCTTTTTTTGTTCCCCTAAAGCGACACCTTTGAAAAGCCCTGGCATTTTCCCTGGTTAAGAAAAAGCTCCTCTCTGTGCTGGAAAATTTCAGCCGCTCCCCATTGCATTCCTACTCAGCATTCTTCACAGATCTGACTGCAGTGCTGGCTGTCAGGATGAAAAGCCTGGATTGCCGCATTTGGCCACGGGTGTGGTGGCCTCTGAAGAGAGAGCCAAGCTGCTCCTTGATGGTTGGTCTCTAGAGGGGAGTGTCTCACTCACTGCAAACTGGGGACCTTGGGGTGGACACCACTGTTAAGAACTTCAGGAATGCAGAGGCTGCAGCGGAAAAATCCCTGCATTAGGCGGGGGAGGGTCAGATCTAGGCTTTAGTTCTTGGAACTATCCTGTCTGGCTGTGTGACTCTGGGGGACTTATTTAATCTCTCTGGGCTTCATATTCTTCCCCTGCAAAGATGAAGAACTAGGACAAAATCATCTCTAAATGCTGTCAGGTTCTAAAATTCTAAAATAGTGCATCATTGCATATTTTCTCTGCCAGGCCCTGTGTTAGATCTGAGGAATATAAGAATGAAAATAGCCCTAGCCAGTTTGGCTCAGTGGGTGGAGTGTCAGCCTGCGGACTGAAGGGTCCCGGGTTTGATTCCCAGCAAGGGCACATGCCTGGATTGTGGGCTTGATCCCCAGTAGGGGGTGTGCAGGAGGCAGCCGAGCAATGATTCCTTCTCATCATTAATGTTTCTATTTCTCTCCCCCTCTCCCTTCCTGTCTGAAATCAATAAAAATATATTTTTTTAAAAATAGAATGAAAATAGTATTAAAAGTTAATATTTATTGAGTGCTTAGTGCCACAGATTGTATTATCCACTTTACATACAGTGTTGTCAGTTCTCAGGACACCCTTGTGAGATCAGGCCAGTCATCAGTATTACTGGCCTCATGAAAGGACTGTCTGAGTCCTCTCCCTGCTTCCCGCTATTGGGCCCCTGCTCTCTTAGACTGACCTGGAGAGCAGTGATGTACGAGAACCATTCCAGGTGCTCTGCCAGGAACCACTCTGCTGTGGCAGCCACTAGGCCGTTGGCTGTTAGATAGGGATGACTAAGACATGTAAATAGAGATAGATTTGTTTTCCTTTTTCTTAAAAAAAAAATGATTTCTACCAAACTTCAAATTTATTATAAATCTCCAATAATTAGGACAGTGTGGTTTTGGCTCAAGGCTAGACAAATAGTCCAGTGGAATAGAATAAAAACTACAGGAGCAGATCCACATGTCTGTGGATACTTATATGATGAAAGTGACATGCAATGGTGCTGGGTTAACTGGACTGGTGATCATGTGAGGAAAAAATGGCTCTTGATTCCTATTTCATACCATATACAAAAATCACTTAAAAAATGAGCTGTAGATCTAAATGTAAATGTTAAAATCATCAAACTGCTAGAAGATAACATACAAGAATATCTTCATGATCTTAAGGTAGACAGATTTCTTAAACCGGACACAAAAATCACTATAACCACAAAAGAATGAATAAATTGAATTACATTAAAAATTAGAATTTCTGCTCATCAAAATGCACAAGTAAAAAGTGCCAGGGCCCTAGCCAGTTTTGCTTGTGGTTGAAGCGATGGCCTGCAGACTAAAGGGTCTTGGGTTCAATTCCTGGTCAAGGGCATTTACCTGGGTTGTAGGTTTGATTCCCAGCCCCAATCTGGGTATGTATGGGAGACAACCAGTCAATGTGTCTCTTTCACATTGATGTTTCTCTTTCTCTCTCCCTTTCCCTTCCTTCCACTCTCTCTAAAAAATCAATGGAAAAAATATCCTCAGGTGAAGATTAACCAAAAAATAAAATAAAATAAAATCCTATATAATAAAAGCCTAATAGGAGAATTGACTGAATGGCGGAATGACCGGTTGCTATGATGCACACTGACCACCAGGGGGCAGACACTCAATGCAGAAGCTGCCCCCAGCCCGCAGGCCGCAGGCCAGCCAAGGCAGATGCCAGCGGGGCCCCTCCCCACCCCACCCCCCGATCACCCCACTGGTTGCCCCATAGATCAGCCCTGATCACAGGCCAGGCCTAGGGACCCTACCCATGCATGAATTTCATGTACCTGGCCTCTAGTAGTGAAATAAAATAAAGTAATTCAGAAGTAGTATGTTAAAAAAAAAAAAGTGAAAGGGGCTCAGCCAGTGTGAGTGGTTGAGCACTGACCCATGAACCAGGAGGTCACAGTTTGATTCCTGGTCAGAGTAGGTGCTTGGATTGCGGGCTCAATCCCCAGTGGGGGGCATGCAGAAGGTAGCTGAACAATGATTCTCTCTCATCATTGATATTTCTAACTCTCTCTGCCTCTCCCTTCCTCTCTCTGAATCAATAAAAACATAAATATATTTTTTTAAAGTGAAAGGAGAAGCTCCTGAGAGGGAGAAGATATTTACTGAACAAAGGAAAAAACTTCTCCAAATTGATATGAGAAAGGCAGATGACCCAATTTTAAAAAATGGGCAAAATATTTGAATAGGCAGGTAACAAAAGAGAGCATCCAAATGGCTAATGAACATATGGGAAGGTTTTCAGGCTCGATAGACTTAAAGGATATGCAAGTTAAACCCCTAATTCATTACTACTTCATACCAACCAGAATGGCTCAAACTAATTAGAAAACCTGACTATACCAAGTTTTTTAAGTGTTAGCAAGAAGGAGAGCAGTTAGAACTCTCACTTGCTCTGGGGGGAGTCTAAATTGGAAAGCACTTTGTAAAGCTCTTTGAGAATATTTACTAAAGATGGACATATGCATAATCTGTAACTCATTAGTTCAGGTTCTAGGTATATCTACAACAAAATTGCATACATATGTTCATTGAAAATACATACAAGAACATTGGTAGCAATGCTCTTATTCATAATGGCCCCACACTGGAAGTAACCCAAATTCCCATCAACAGTAAAAAGGATAAATAAATTGTAACACATTCATACAATAGACTAGGAAAGAACTGTTGTTTTACCTAATATATGATGAATCTTACAAACATAATGAATGAAAGAAGCCAGACACAAAAGAGAATACAGTGAATCCTTTCATTTTTGCAAATTTCAAAAAAAACAAGCAAAATAACCCTCTGGTTTTAGAAGTCAGAATAGTGGTTACCAATTTGGGGGGCAGGAGATTTTTTTGGGTGTTGGTATTTCTTGTTTAGGATACTGATTAAACAGGTATTTTAACTTTGTGGAAATTGGTTGAGATGTATAATTATGCATTTTTCAACGTATTATATGACAATAAAATTTTTACTAATTTTTTAAAAAACAGTATATTCTAATTTTGAATTGATAAAAGATTCGCATTATAAAAAATACTAGAGGCCCTGTACACAAAATTTGTGCACTTGCAGGGGGCAGGTCCCTCAGCCTGGCCTGCACCCTCTCGCAGTCCAGGAGCCCTTGGGGGATGTCTGACTAATGGCCTAAGCTGTCAGTCGGACACCCTTAGCGCTGCTGCAGAGGCAAGAGAGGCTCCCACCACTGCCGCTGCACTTGCCAGCTGTGAACCCGGCTTCTGGCTGAGCAGTGCTCCCCCTATGGGAGTGCACTGACCACCAGGGGGCAGCTCCTGCATTGAGCGCCTGCACCCTGGTGGTCAGTGCGTATAGTGACCGGTCATTCCGCCATTTGGTCAATTTGCATATTAGCCTTTTATTATATAGGATAGAAGGGATATAGTATAAAAAGTCTCCTTTCTACCTCTCTCTGCTCCAGCCATCCAGTTCCCTCACTGGTAACCAGCCAGTGATATAGTATATTTGTGCATCCTTTTAGAGATATTTTTTTGGATATACAAGCAAATAAATATCTATGTAATTACACACACACACACACACCTATTCTTTTTGCATATATGGCATACCTACCCTTTTTTATATGTATGACATGTCTAAACATGTTATTCTACAGTTTGCTTTTATCATCTAATTTATTTTAAAGGTTTTTCCATATCAGTACATAAAGAAATTTCTTTTTCCTTCTTTTTTTTTTTTAAATATATTTTATTGATTTTTTACAGAGAGGAAGGGAGAGAGATAGAGAGTTAGAAACATCGATGAGAGAGAAACATCGATCAGCTGCCTCCTGCACATCTCCTACTGGGGATGTGCCCGCAACCCAGGTACATGCCCTTGACCGGAATCGAACCTGGGACCCTTCAGTCCGCAGGCCAACGCTCTATCCACTGAGCCAAACCGGTTTCGGCTCTTTTTCCTTCTTACAGCTGCATAATGTGCTTGTAAATGGGTGTTCCATGATTTATTTAACAAGTTCCCCCTCTTGATGGGCATTTATGTAGGTTTGATTATTTCTAGTTGAGAAACTTTCTTGATGGAAGGTGAGTCTCAAGACAAGTTAATTGTAGAAGATAGTCACTGTATTCATCTTAAAGTAATGCCAGCAATATTCCCTTGCCTTTCATTGGCTGATGTCACAGCCCAGACTGGCAAGGGAAGCTGCCCATTCCTTTCCAGGAGAACTTCATTTTGTAGGTACAGTAACCTGAGAAAAAAATGGTAAATTTATATGAAAGATTAATTTTTAAAAAAAAATTTTGTAAAGTTAGAATTTCTCATATAATAGTTTGATTTATCTTCTTTCTCTTTTTGTTTTCTGTTTAGCCCAAGAAGAAGAAGAGAACAGTGGAATTGAGAGCCATTAATTTGGGGACAGATTACGAATATGGGGTTTTGAACATTCACATGACTTCATATGACATGGCCCTGGCAGAGAGTTATGCCCAATATGTTCACAACCTCTGCAACCATCTCTCCATTAAAGTGGAGGAAAGGTATGAAGGCTGTCTTTGTATGAAATATTCTTGGTGTGGGTAGCATGCTCTGCTTTGTTGTTGATAAATGAGGTTTTGAGATATAATTTACATGTGGTAAAATTCACCCTTTTTAGATATACTTTGCCACAATCAAAATATAAAAGTTTTATTAACCCCAAAAGTTTCCTGGTGCCCAGGTATAGTCAATCTCCTCCCCTTTCTTTCCCTTTCACATCCTTGGCAACTACCAATTGATTTTCTGTCCCTGTTGTACATCATGTAAGTAGAATCATACAATATGCAGCTGTTTGGCCTCTTTCACTTGCCATAATGTGTTTAAAATTTATCCATGTTTTTGTAAGTATTTTATTACTCAGCAGTATTCCATTAAATGGTGATTTTAATTCACCAGTTGATATACTTTTGGATTGTCTCCAGTTTGTTGGTAATTATTAACAAAGCTGCCGTAATCATTCTCATACATGTTTTGTGGGTCATATGTCTTCTTTTCTCCTGGATAATTACCTAAGATTGGGATTTAGGGATTGTATAGTGAATGTATGTTTAACTTTGTAAGATACCGCCAAACTGGTTTCTAAACTAGATACACCATTTTGTATTCCCACCAGCAACATATGAGAGTTCCAGTAACTCCTTATTCTGGTCAGTACTTGGTATTGTCAAATTTTTTAAAAGGTATTCTAATACATACATACTGGTATGTCACAGTGGTTTTAATTTTCACTTCCCTAATAAATAAATGATGTTGAGCATCTTTTCATGGGCTCATTTACCTTCCGTATATCTTCTTTGATGATGTGTCCAAATCTTTTGTCTACTTTTAAAATTGGGTTGTTTTTTATTACTGAATTATTAAAGTTTTTACAATCTGTTTTTGGATACCAGTTCTTTTTCAGTATGTGTTCTGCAAATATTTTCTCCCAGTCTATGGCTTATCTTGTTACCTTTTTATCTGAGTCTTTTAGAGAGCAGGAGTTTAAGTTTGATGAAGTTCAATTTATCAGTTTTTTCTCTTATTGTTCATGCTTTTGGTATCAGATCTAAGAAATCTTTGCCTAATCCAACATCACAAAGATATTCTCCTATGTTTTTTGGTAGAAGTTCTATATTTTTGTATATGGTGTGAGATATGGGTCAAAGTTCTTTTTTTTTTTTAAATATACATATCCAATTGTTCAAATACCATTTGTTAAAAAGATTTTCTTTCTCCATTGATTTGTCTTAACATCTTCTGAAAGTCAATTAACCATGTATGTTTAGATCTATTTCTATTCTCTATTACATTGCCAATACCACAATATCTTGATTACGGTAGCTTGATTACTGAACTAAAACTTCATTCTTATTTTTCAAAATTATTCTGGCTATTCTAGGTTTTTCATAAACATTTTAGAACTAGTTTGTTGATTTCTACAGAAAAGAGCCTGATGGAATTTTGTTAGGATTGTGTTGAATCTGTAGATAAATTTGAGGAGAATTGACATTTTATCTATTTTAATTCCTTTGATTCATTAAGATGGTATATGTCCCCATTTATTTAGGTATTCTTTGCTTGCTCTGCTCTTCATTTACTCTTTGGATTTGTTGGAAAACTGTAGGAGAGGAGAACTAACATTTACTCACTATCTGCTCCAGGCCAGGCACTTTACATAACTTACCTCAGTGTTTCAGAAAATGTGGGATGCCCTTTTAAATTCTCATTCAACTTAATATGTCAAGGATAAATTCTTTGTGTGGTTCCGGTATGTTCTTAACACCACTCTAACACTTCCTAATCTTTATAACAGAGAGGCAACCTCTGGTTCGTGTCTTTGGCTACCAATAGAATTTAGCTAGAATTTTATAACATTGTTTTGTTTTCATTGTATTTATTTTTAACTTACTTTCTACTTATGACAGCTGATACTGGTTTTCCATTTGTAGTAGGAACATAATTTACATTCAGTAAAAATTCACCATTTCAGTGATCAATTTCTGAGTTTTGACAAATACACACAGTAGAGAGTAAATACCATCATAATCAAGATATAGAACATTTTCATCATCCCAAGAAGTTCCCTCCCCCTACCCCCAGTCCCTGGCAAATACAGATCTGTTTTCTGTCCCTATAGTTTTTGCCTTTTCCAGAATGTAATATTAATGAAATCATACAGTATTTTTCTTTCTGTGTTCTTTATTTCTTCACTTAAGATAATGTATTTGAGATTTATGCATGTATTGCCAGTGTCAAATTGTTTGTTCCTTTTTGTTGCTGATAAGCATTTCATTGACTATATGTATGTTTATCCATTCACCAGCTGAAGAACATTTGTGTTGTTTTCAGTTTGGGGCAATTGTGAATAAAGCCACTTTAAACATGTACAGGTTTTTGTGAGAACTTAAGTTTTCATTTCTCTAGGAGTATGATTGTGGGGTCAAATGGTTAAGTGTAATTTATGTTTACATTTATAAGAAACTGCCAAACTGTTTGCCAAATTGGCTATACCATTTTTTTCCTCATCAGCAACATGAGTTCCAGTTGTTCCACATCTCAAGTTTCTTTTTCAAATTAATTTTAAGTGTGTTGACTTAAAGAAAAATATTTAATAAATAATACTTGGGGTGGTTTGCCATTGTGACAAGGTAGTACATGGCACAATATATGGATATGGCAAAAATTATACTCTTTCTCACTTGACAGATATTAATATACTAGAGGCCCATTGCACGAAGATTCGTGCAATAGGCCTTCTTTCCCCTGGCTGCCAGCACCAGTTTTCCTATGGCACCCGGGACCCAGACCTTCACTCTGGCCACTGCCTTCCATCTTCGCTCTGGACACAGTCTTCGCTGCGGCTGGAGCCTTCAGTCTTTGCTCCTCGCTCTGACCGGAGTCTTCAGTCTCCAGCCAGAGCTGTTCCTGTAGCTCCTTCCGCCCCCCACCCTCCCCGTCATAGCTTGATCGCTGCTTTGCCTGCAGACTTCGCCAACGGGCTCCTGGGTCCCAGGGGGCTGCCTTGCCTGCAGCCCGGCTTTCCGATCACGATTACAATCACGGGCGGCAGGCAAGGCGGCTCCTGGGTCCCGGGGGGCCGCCTTGCCTGCGGCCTGGCTTTCCGGCGGCTCCTGGGGTCACACACGGGGGCCTGGATGGCGGCTCCCGGTGTCCCGCCCTGCCTGCAGTATGCAAATTAGCCGCCATCTTTGTTGGCGGTTAATTTGCATATCACGCTGATCAGCCAATGGCGATGGTAGCGAAGGTACGGTTAATTACCATGTTTGTCTATTATTAGATAGGATTCTCATTGTACAGATGAAGAAACCAAGTCTCAGAATAGCCAAAAGTCACAGAACTAGTAAATTGCCTGGATTTAACCTAGTTCTGCCTGACTCCAGTATTTTTAATTCTATAGGATCTTTTTTAAAATATATGTTTTTATTGATTTCAGAGAGAGGAAGGGAGTGGGAGAGATAGAAACATCAATCAGAGAGAAACATCGATCAGCTGCCTTCTTCATGCCCCCTACTAGAGATCGAGCCCACAACCAGGGCATGTGCCTGACTGGGAATTGAACCAGCAACCTCATGGTGCATGGGATGATGCTCAACCAACTGAGCCACACCAGCCGGGCTATAGGGTCTTATTTTAAGTCATTAAGCCAAATATGAACTTTTGAACCTTTATAACTTAGAGTATAATTGCGCTAAATGTGCTATTTGGAAGACTGTATAATAAGGTGTGATTTTATCTCTCACAGCAGATAGTACTTCAATTGTGTTAGGCCTAAAGATATGCTTTATCTATTTCTGATGCCCCAGAGAGTCAGTTGTTCTTTCAGCACTTGACACGCACCTCTGTCATGTCACTTAGTGCTTTGGGCTGTAATCGTCTATTCATGTGTCAGCTCCTCTCCCCACTGACTAGATGGGGACTGTGTTCTTTATTTCTTCAGCACCTAGACCAGGGCCTGCCTGCCACATGGGGAACGTTAAGCCATTGTTGCAAGAATGACAGGTTCTTCAATATGACTATACAATCCAGCTGTATGGTATACATTTCCTAAAGTGTAATGACAGTGCTTTCAATTAATTGATTAAAATCTATTGATTGAGCCCTTTCTTGCTCATGTGATAAGCACTGTACTAGATATTTTAACTGGATGATACTAAGGTGAATGTTCCTGATTTCAGGGATTATATGTACATGTGTGTGTGCACACAAGCACACAGAAATAATTTTAACATAATGTGGAACATGGTAAGTGAAAGTTAAAGTACAGTTCCAGTTCAAGAAGCAGAATAGTATAACAATTTAGAGCAATACCTTTCAAAGTAGCACTGCACGAAGATATCAGAAGCTTATGCCAAAATGTGCATTCATGCTTTGCTTCCTTCATCAAAAAAGTCTTGCGCCCTAACCGGTTTGGCTCAGTGGATAAGAGCGGCGGCCTGCGGACTCAAGGGTCCCAGGTTCGATTCTGGTCAAGGGCATGTACCTTGGCTACGGCACATCCCCAGTGGGGATATGCAGGAGGCAGCTGATCCATGTTTCTCTCTCATGGATGTTTCTAACTCTCTATCCCTCTCCCTTCCTCTCTGTAAAAAATCAATAAAATATATTAAAAAAAAAAAAAGTCTTGCTATTGAAAAAAAAAATGGTTGGCTGAGTTAAATAGTGTGTTTAGTGACTGTTGCATGCTCCTTATCTTTTCCTGGACTGATACCATGC